GAGAAGTGCTTAGAGGGCCAGAGCACCATCAGCTTATACTTTGTCAGGGTGGTCCATCTTTTGCCCAGGGCTGTAAATTGTCTGAAGACAACAGAATAAAGAACAAAAATTAAATTGCCAAATAATAGCTCAAAATAGAAGGCTCTGTAAACTTACAATGCATTCCCATTTTTTCCTGCCATTTTAAGCTATTTAGAAACAATTTGTTTCCTGCTTTGAATGGAGTTAATTTTATCGCAGCTATTTATTTTTGTTTTAGCAGCTTTAGTTTACACAGCCCTTTATCATTCTTAACTATCCTTCTGATTTAGAATCTTGGTTTAATGCCAGCACAGCTCTGAGAGGCCATTGGTGAATTGAGTCTGATGTTGTGGTCTCTTTTTAATCCCTGTTTGAACTAATCTGTTTTGGTACATTTCAGAATGTTGCTCTCTCAAAAGACCTGTAACTGCTATAGCAGAAGTGTGGTATGTTTGCAGTGTCTTGAGAAAACTAATCTCTCTTATATACCCATAGAGGAAAAAATGTGTGTAAAGTGCGAAATTCCTCCAGACAGTGTTGAGAGAATTTAAGCTTCATGAATACTAAACTAGCTTGCATTCGTAAGGAGCTATGAATCAACAGAGAATCAGAGCTCTGAGTGGTTTAAAATAGCTGTATGTCAGTAGTCCCATATCTTCTCCTAGTCAAAAGTTGGAAACAGTTGGCCCCTGGGAGCTCTAGCCTCTCGCTGCTGATATTGCCCTTGCTCAGACTGTGAGGAACTTACTGGAAAAGTGCACCCAGCGCTTAGATTTTAGCCCTACCTTGTGGTGTTACAGATGATTCAACAACAAGAAATCTAGATAAAAGAGCAGCGTCTTGGCTTATAGAGCCAGAAATGTGAAGTGACACCTCGAAGGACGCATGTCCTGTGAAATATTAAAGATCTGAAAATTCCTCCTAAGATTAAGACTGATATGACAGTAGGTACCTTAGTGAACACCTTATCAATGTTGCTTGTCAGCTCTGCGAAGGCTGACAGAGAGCTAACACATTCTAGAGAAGTTGCTGTTAAAAAAATAATGAGAGGCCTGACTTCTGTAGCTTCTGCCCTATACTGGTTATATTTGAAGTATATTAATACCTAGGCTTAAAAGAAGAGCCAGATGTGCTCAGTGTTTCTAGGGTAGCAGTTTGCTGAGCTGTTGGCCTTACCTTAGTGCTCAAGTCCATCGCTGTGGTAGACCACAGCTGCTTCAGACTGCGTGGGTGAACAGGTCAGCAGCAGCAGATGATTGTGCTGACTGAAATGCTCTCCAGTTTTTCATGTTCATCATTTAGGAACCTGACCTCCCTACTAGCTGTAGCTCTTCCTGAAGGAAATTTCATATTTTAAAATCATAATCTGACAGTCCATGTCACTCAGGTTCCTGCTTAGATTCCAGCTGTATCCATGGACTACATTTGTCTTTTGGAGAAACTATCCACCCAGCAGTGTTCCTCCTACTAAGCTGCTTGCAGTAGTGCCAAAAAAAGTTCTTGAAAAGCTGAACAAATAAAAAAAAGGAGTGTGTTTGGAAGAGGGAAATTTTTCTGGTCTCAAGAGGGAATCCCTTCCTTTTGTAGGTAGGGCTATGGAGGCCAGTGCAGCTGCACTTGTCAGGATTGCACCAAGGGAATTGCTGATGTATATACATTTTTACACAAATACACACACACACATATATATATATATATGTATCAGGGAACAACTCAATGGAAAAATAAATGAGAGAGAATTTTTCAGGCAAGGGTGGAGATAGTGTTGCAAATCTCTGCTTGCAAGTTCTTTACCTGTACAAATCAGAGGTGTATCTCTCATGTACCTTGGGAGGAAGGTAGGAGAGAGTCTCCTTAGCGTGTCTTTAATAGTAAGAGCATGTTAGATTATTTTCTGCAGGACTGTTTTGTACTTATGCACTGCATTATTCTTTCTTAATGTTACTGCACATCTTTGCTTTATCTGATTTGTTGTCAGTTTCCACTACATATAATTCTCCTTTTCTGTCACCTTTGTCTCTAGTCCTCAGCCATGTTGTGATAAGAGCAAAGAGAAAAATAGTTCTTGTAAAAGTCAGGGCTTTTGTTCTGATTTGTATATTTAAGCACAGAGGGCTTCGCAGTTTATGTCAGTCAAAAAAAAAATTATGTCATTGTCCCAGTTGATCAGTAAGAACTCTTTTAACTTTGAACGATCTTTGTATCTGACCACTCAAATGCAGTTTAGTTTGGACAGGTCTCACTTCAGTCCATTCTGTCTTCATCTACCAAAAAAAAAAAAAAAAAAGAAACAATATTTTAAAAAAGCAGCTCTTATTTCCTATGTTGGTTTCATTATGAGGACTTTGTTCTGTGACAGAGCTCTGTGGCAGCATAGAGAATGACATGACTCCTGTATTATCATCAAGCACAGATGGATGATGCTTGGGAAATCCGTTGTAAGCCTGAGGTGAGGCTTCTGGTACAATGTGTGTACAAAGGTGGGATGTCTCATCACAGAAAAATGGTCATCAAAGCTGAAGATGCCATAATGATAAACAAGTGATGACCCAGAAAGAAGCAAAAGCTTTATTCTTATTGAAGCCTCTTGAGGTTTCTACCTTTCTTTCATGCAGACTTCAAAGATCTGGAAGTCTGTGTGAGACCTGTTGGGTGTTTCTCGTAAATACTTCCATATTTTAATTCCATCCACTGGCCAAGGTCCAGATCCTCTTTTCCCACAATTAGGGGTGTAGAAAACCTATTCTAATTACCTGTTTTAAAGATAGATTTTCTGTTCAGTGGCTAAGAGCAGTCATGCATACTATCAGTTCCTTGTGGAGGGAGGTCTTTGCACTGTTCTCATATCAAGAAGATCTTTTATTCAGCGAAACAGTGATGATCGCTACCATTTCAGTTTTTTGAGTTTTGGGTGTTTTATACTCAGAAAAATTATTTGTAACTCAGTATAATCAATTGCTGACCCATTCTCTTTGCATTTAAATAAATAAATAAATTTGGTTCTAGCCTCTCTTTCAGCCAAGGCAAAAGATATTTTGCAAAGCTGGGAAAGTTCTAGCTACTGGAACTTAAAAGTTTTCATTTACTGCCCAAATCACAGCAAGATGTTGGAAGAAGAAAAGGGCAATGACTTTGCCATGCTGCCCAATGGGATTTATATCTCTCTGGCTTAATTTACCTCTGCATCTCCAAGTGCCTCTGCTGGAAACATTGTGGAATGTCTCTGCTATGGATAACCACTCCCCTCCTGCCAACCACAGCACCAAGCAGGATCATAGTGAATGCTTGAATTCCCTGGTTATTGCTTTCCTGAGGTCTGGAAGAGGGTGAACTCAATCTCCACATCCAGATCATTAATAAAGATGTTCAATAGGACTGGCCCCAATACTGAGCCCTGGGGAACACCACTAGTGATCTGCTGCCAATTGGATTTAGCTCCATTAACCACAACTCTCTGGGCCTGGCCATCCAGCCAATTGGGTCTTTTTATGGAACAGATAACTTGTTCAGTGCTATCTAAACTGAATGTCTGAAGAAACAGAAATGTAACTGATTTTCAACAGGTAGATGTGGCAGCCACTCAGGAGACCAGAGGGCCAAAGGATTTTGCTTAGTCTTTAGTCTTTCTGTTTGTTTCTCATTGGGAACTTTCTCTAATTCTGCATTTATACTCCTTTCATGTTTCAGATACAGAAAATCTCAGGGTAGCATATGATGGCTTTTCTGCTTTTTGCTAGAAGTCCTGATCTGATGCATAATTCCTGATTTCCTATCCTAGCAGCACACTGTTGTTGAAATCCATTTAACATAGGAGTTTCTTGCATCCTGGATCATGAAGTTGTACCTGTAGGCCTTAGGACTTGCACTGGTTTCTGTGGTTCATCTCTACTCACAGCCTTGTGTGATGAAAATCCATTGCAATGGCTTTGTGGACTTTGAAACAAAAATAATTGAGAAGATAAACTTACTTGAAACTCTTCTTTCTTTGACTTGTAAGATCCACATCTGTGACACCATGAATGCTTGTGAGGGGAATGTGAGATTTTGAGTTTCTTATTATAAGGAAGAATTAGTGCTGTAGTAGCAGCAATTGCTGTGGTTTTCCTGGAAACAGAGTTAAGTCGATATGTAATGTAGGGAGGAAGATTTAAATGGTCCGGGGGAGGAGACTTCAGTGGGTCACTTCTGCTGCCAGTGGCTGTTTGGCCTGATGCTGCACTCTTCTGTAAAGTGGCTGAAACATCACCTTATTGCATCTGTAGCCTCTGCTATTTAAACAGCAGTTATTTTCAGAGAAGTGCAGATAAATTTTCCAATTCACTGAGAGAAGTAATGCAAATCAGAATGTCAATTCTGATTTGTTATATTCCTAGAGGATAGTGTGCATGGGTGCTTTTCTTATGAGGCTGTCTATGCTGCAAAGAGGTTTAATTTTCAGCAGGGAGCATATTATGCAGCTTATTTGATTGCAAATTTGTTTGAACAGCTTTCAGCTTTATATTTCCCAGTTAGGTAATGTAGCTTTAGATACTAATTGCATAATTGGCTCGAGTCACACAGATTGGAGGTACAACGTGCCTGGTCTGACTGCTTGTTAGCTTTAAGTGGCTTTATACAATAGGTGCCCTACAACTTACTATAACTTTTTCTTTTATTGAGTTCAAATGATTTTTGTCTGAGGAAGGAGGATTTTCTTGGTACTTAAGGAATGACAGTCCTCATTCTTGAAGTTTTGATGCTGGACTATGCATGTTTTCTGGATTGGTGTAATTTCTAACTGGTACACCAATGTGTTGAAATAAAGTGATTTAAAAACTCAATAATGAGTGCATGGCACAGAGAGCACCTTCTCTACCTGTTTCTTGTGGTTTTGTTTTCCTCTAGAGGATGGTGGGAGGGAACATTTTCCAGTCACAATCAGAACTGGTAACAGTGAGCTTCACATCTAAGATTCCTTCTTTCATCCCTCCATTTCACAGGCCTAAAAGATGCTACAGGCTCTGAGAGTGATGGTGGTGACTCTTGCAGTACAAAATCAGAAGGAGCCAATGGAGGCACGACAATCCAACCCAAAAAGGTCAAAGGTGTTGGCTTTGGCGATATCTTCAAAGACAAACCCATAAAGCTACGACCAAGGTCAATAGAAGTTGAAAATGACTTTCTCCCAGCAGATAAGGTATGTGTCATTTCTTAATTCTCTCTTGATGTTGGTTTAAAGAAGTTTTCATCTTAAAGTTCTAAATTCTGTCACTGCCCTATACTTGAAGCTTTATGGTCGTTATTTCCTAATTTTTCTGTAGACAAGATTCCACTATTTTTTTTTGCTTGAACTGGAAAGTGAATTCCAGTGAAGTTAGCAGGCAGCTAGTATTACTTTGCTTAAAGATTTACTCCTCTGTTCATACCTTCATCTGTTTAATCGGTCTTTTTCTTTCTAAGAAAATACTAGTTCAGAGAACAAGACTGGAGAGGTTTTCAGTTACTCACATCGTGGTAAAAAAATTTGCTAATTCTTATATAAACTAAGAGGGAGATACTGTCACTGTGCCATCAGTTTGCTTAAAAAAGAAAAAAAAAGGAAGCTTTGGCAAATATTTAAATACTTCAACTTAGTATTGGATTTGTTTATTTAAAGGATGTTTTCAAAAATCGCCTAACTTTATTTAAAAGGCTTTGTAGAATAGAAAGCATGTTTTTTATGGGATTGTTTTATGCAACATAAAGGGAAAAGCCTAAGATTAACACTCTTGAAGAAGTAGAAACAATGCTTAATTCCTTTTTTCCTTTTTAAATTCTGAAGTTTGGAGACCCTAAAACTCTTTCTGTTGTTTCTTCTTATTACAGTTATTGAGGAAATATTACTGTAATTATACTGTTGCCTTTTTGATTTAAAACATTTCCTAACTGCTGTTGGTTTTTTTTTACAAAGCATCAGTAAATTACTGTGAGGATTTTATAATGTGGGATTATATATTACATGATAATTCCCATGGAAAATGTCAGTCCCATTTACAGAAGAATCAACAGGGTCTTATTTTGTTGGTGTTATCACTTTGTGTTCTAATTATGTGTTCAATTTTATGAATCGTAAGTTGAGATCATATTTCACACAGAATCACTGGGGTGTTAAGAAGGCTTTTATACAAATATTGGCAGGACGATGAGGGCAGAAAGGTTTGATGCCAGTTGAGGAAAAGCAGGTGCCCTTAGGCTCTCTTGTAAATCACCAGTCAGTTTGATGTGCTTCAGGTGGTTGCCCTATGGTAACAATGTAGAACATAGTGACCCTTGTCTTTTAAGGTGATCAATACATTCTCAATAAAAGGCAAAACCGAAGGATTGTGTGAAACCCCATTGGTTTTATTGGTGTGTAGAATTCATTGCTTAGCTTTCTTTTTTCTCCAAATCACAGAAGCAGATTATTTTAGGGAAATTAATGATGCGGTTGTGGGAGTTTAATTTCAGCTGTGCCATCAGAGCTCTGCTTTTAAAAAAAATGGAAGAGTCAAATACTTATGCTTTGTAGTCCTTTTTATTGCCTGTTTGTGCTGATGAGTCAACTGTTGGCCATGTATGACTAGAATCAGATTCCTGAGGCTTGGCTCCATCAAATTTCCATTAATGATAGACGTAAGTGAACTGTTTTACAGTGCTGTGTGTGACTGAAGACACAGCTTGACAACAGATGACTTTTTAGAAGAAATACAGTGTGTGTATAGATATGTTGTGTCCTCTGAGAAAATTCAGTGTAACACTCTCAAAGTAGTACAAGGTTTAAGATCAAATAGAAATGCCTGTTTCACATGCTCTCCTTCTGCTCATGCAACTTCAAGACATTTAAACAGGTGCTTACGCTTATTTCTTTTTTCCTTTTTTATTTTGTAGTAGCTTATCTAAAGCTTCTGTTTCTAGGTTGGACTTCCTTCCAATATGATCTGTATGTGGTTCTGTTGTTCTAACGACACCATTTTTTCCTCTCCTCTATCTAAGAATAGATACAAGTACAAGAAAATTAATTCAACCAATACATTTTTTAGTCTGAGTTAATCGTGTCAGGTTGGTTTGTGAGTTGAGGCTTCAGCCAGGAAATAGTAAAGACCATAATAGGTGAATATAAAATAAAAAGTCTTAAAAAGCTATTTTTATCTTTCTGAAAATTGTCCTTACTTCAGAAGAAACTACTGAGAGTATTTTTTACATATTCCATTTGAGATGCATTTGCAACTTTCTTCAGGCAAGACTTTCATAGTTGGATAGTGGTGGTGAATTTGAGCAGAGCTAGATTTCATGAACAGCCTTTGATGAGGTCATAATACTGTTTGCCAAAACTTAACATAAATTGCATACTCAGCCATCAAACTGGGGAATATTGCAGCCACTGTAATGATGTAGTATAAAGGGGGAAGCTGTCATGGCTCTAGATTCAGCAACTTGTAGTATCTAGTTAACTGGTGTTTAGGGATCCTTCTGTGAAACACTGAATTTATCCAGAAATTTTGATTTTTGTACGTATTCAGTATGTTTGGGAGAGGAGAAATGGAGAAGAAATAATGGAAGTCGACACAAGAGCTATAAGGGCTAGAAGCTCCTGCCAATTATGAAGTCTACCTGTCCTTTGTAATAAGATAGAATTTGTAAACTCTGAGACTGAGTGCCTGCAAGGTCTGAGTTTCTATTTTGAGCTGACAAGCTAGGGACCCAGAAACTGTGGTGAATGTGTTGTGCTGACAGTCTGTCTTCACCACACCTGTTCTGTCAGTTCCTGCCTGGTTGCTTGTAGAAAACATTTTTACCCCTTAATTTTCAGTTGTCATTTAAAGAGAAGTCTTTGATAGATGCAAGTTGGAGGCTCCTGGTGTTTCTAAACCAGCTGACAATGCTTGAGCTGTCCCAGTCCTGCCCAGTGGCACGTGTGGTGCATGGCCAGCCCTACCTGTGTGTGTCACATGCATCAGTCTGCACTTGCCTCTTTATTGCATGGCTTGCTGCTACTTCCTTTGCCCCTCCAGTGTCTTTGGAGCTTCTTGCTCCCCTAACAAAAATGTTGAAGGCAGTGTTCAAAAATCCTGAGATAACGAAGAAGTGTGTGAAGGCAAAACCACCTGGTACTGAATATGGATGCTTTTAAAAACACCTCCTGAGGCAGAGATCGTGTGATGGGAGCACCGAGTGTGTTTAGCACTTTGCACTTGAAAGCACAGGTTTATTCAGAGACAGCTGTCGGTGGTGGCAGCAGTGGTCGTGGCAAGCATCAGCAGTTTGTCAAATTCTGTGTAGGAACAGAGGCAGCACTCATCTGTTCAAGCAACATTTATGTTTTGCTTCGAAGTTTCTGTCTCCTATAGTCTGACACCCTTGTCCTAACCATTTATTCTAGTTCCATCTTGTGAGGAAAGCTACAAGGGGATGAAGGACCCTGGCCCCTTGTAGAGCTGTCATGAGGGCAAGGCTGCCTGCAGTAGGGCTTCACTCCTTTGCTGCTGCAACTTTCTGTTCCTTCTATTCAGCGTGAAAACAGATTTATGTGTTTCTTTCATTATGTGAAAAAAATGATTTGCAAATGGTGGCTGATGTTCATAAGGCACTGTGGCCATTATAAGTAAACACCTAGAAGATTTATTACCCCTTTCTGGAGGAATGAGAAGGAAGGGTAAGGGAAATAAGGCTGGCAAGTGAAAGGAGGGACAGTCGAAAAGCAGCTTGTCCCATTTTGGGGAGACTGACTCAATGCAGAACCTGGCACCATGGGAACAGAATAGGAAATGCAAAATTAAGTTCAAAAAGAGGAATAAATTTTATAACCTTGGCTAGCAATGACTGCTGAGTCACTGAACTGTGCAACATGAGTGAGGAGTGACTCCTGATCTGTATACTTCCTGCCCTTCCCTACCATCACATGAGATATCTGTGCTTTCACATTCTGTCCGTTCGGTTTCTGAAATGTTCAAGCTGCCTGAACAGTTGTCCACGTATTGGTGATATAGTTCAGCCTGCACATAAGTCTGCACTAGCAGTTTCTGACCAGGGAGGTTACTCACGCAGTGGTTTGTGCTGCTTGTGTTGCTTTATTTGACTTTTGTTTGTATTAAAGCAGCTATTGGACTCTTAAATTAATGCAAGCTAGTTGTTGTCCATGCCACAAGACTTTACACGTATATTGTTGGACTTTATTCAGAAAAGATTTGTCCATATGAAACACATCAGGCATATGCATAACATTTTCAGCTTATGTTCCTGACTTGAGCTACTTGAAGAATATCTTAAAATAGAAGCAGAGTAGTGTAAAAAGTATTGATAGTACTAGAAGTTATTCCTGAAAGCAATGTGGAAAATCTGGTCTGTTCTCCTGAGGCACAGCATTGGGCTTCTGCCAGAATGAGTTCTCCTGGAGGAGTGCTGTCTGGGAGGGAATACTCCTGTTATTTCATTCATGGTTTTGATTAGGAAATCTTACGATGCTCCAGTCAGAAAAACAGGATGTGTAGGTTTAAGCTAATGCAATTTTATTTCATAATAGGAAGACAATAAAAGTATATACATTGTAAGTTGCTCTGGATCCAGCTGCTGATTATTAGCTTGCTAGTGACTGTAAATCTCTGAATTTCAGTTGGGTCTGTACCATTACCAGGCCTTTTACCCCAAAAGGCATTTTAAAAGAAAAATTGTTAAAAAAAAACCCCAAATGCTGTGCTGGAATAGCTTAAAATAAAGCTGATTTCCTGAGTTCCAGAGATACTTGATGGAAACGTAAACTGAATTTCTAGGAAAGATTTGTCTCATGTTTCATCTGCAGTCCAGAGAAAATGTTTCAGAAAGCAACAGGACTGACATGCAAGCTAGCATTTTTTTGCTGTCTGATGAGCTTCAAGAGAATTGGTTCCTGCATGAATATGATACCATATGTCTAATAATAGCAACAAAACCTACCTAAGTAAAATTAATTTATATAAATTTATATAAAATACTTAGTGTAATCAAGACTTTAGGAATAAAGAGTTTTATACATTGTGTCTTAGTGTTTCTAAGTAAAATGAATTTTTCTTTCTTGTCCCACTTGGATTTTGTTAGATGGTATAACTGATATTTAATTGCTACATCTGAGATATTAAGTTTTATAACTTTGAAAAGATTACAAAAAAATCTGATTAAATTACTTCTGGTATTCTTAGCACACAT